TTTTACCTTAACTTGAAGTCGCACCTCCATGTTTACCTAATACTACCAACTGCCCTATTCCCAGCACTCCTGCATTCATTCTACAGGATGGCTGCCCTCTCTCCCAACCACCCTCTGGGTTCCCCCCTTCCCCCATCCAGCCTGCCAGCCATTGATAGGCAGCCTAGTGCAATGGGGAAGGGCAATGCTTCATGCTCAGGCAGCCCTCAGCCCCATCCACCATTGAACAGCTGCATAACCAGCCAAACACAGGTGATTCAATGCCTCTTCTAGAAAAGGTTGGCAATAGTTCTAACCTTCCAGACTTGTGGGCAATAATTCATGGGAGTCCCTTAGCCCAATGCCCAGTACATAGCAGCTACACAATGGTAGCTGTTGTGCACTCAGGCCCACCTCTGCCTTACTGGCTCTATGGCTTGAGGACAAAGCACACCTGATGGGGACAGTGGCACTTGTGATCTCAGGCTCTAATTGTGATAACCATCACTCAAGTGATGTTGGGGGAAACTGAGACTGAGCGGTGACCTTGCCTAAGATCCCTCAGGGAGTCTGTTGAGGAAGCCCTGAAGTGTGAGCCTGTGTCATAAGTATTGGGCCATGCTATCCTGTGTGCATTGAAATATGTAACAGCCAGGACACCTCCTGCCCTGGACTGACAAATACCTATGAAATGAAGCCCACATATTTTTGGCTCAAGAGCTGCTCTAAGTTTCTGCTCAGAGGCTGACAATCCCTGTGGGTCCTTACTGAGCACTTGCAATGTGCAGGCACTGTCCAGATGACCAATTTTGCTCATGTAACCCTCCTGAAAACCATCTGAAATTCCTGTTACAAATGGACACACAGGGTGGTTATGAAATATTGACCACCCACTGTCCCTCGTGGTGCTGCTTACACTGGAAGACAACAGAAGCCCCAGACCTCAGACAACAGAGGGTGGCAGTGTCTCTAAGCAGCCTCCAGATCTCCTTTTGCTTGAGCGTGAGGTCGGAGCTATGGACTAATGATCACAAGCCCCACAGAGGGACACTGCCACCCCCCTGAGGTTCCTTGTGGGCCACAAGGTTCAGGGGCAATTGAAGGGGCCCTGCGTCTCAAAACAGAGAAAGGGCCAGACCCCCAGGCCTCAAGATGGGGATCAAAGAAATAAGGGGTGAGGAGGCAAGTAGGGGATGACCAGAAAAAAGACAAAAATCAAAATTAATAAAGTTTAATTAAATATCTATAAGACAATACATTGTTAAGTAGTAATGAACCTAACTCAAATTGGTATATATTAATGACTTTAATGTGGAATGCCAGCAAAATTTCTTACATGACAGGGTGTGGGATTCAGCCTCTAAAATTCAAAGTGCCAGGGGCCTGCCTATCGTCTTCAAATATGCCACCCCCAAAACGTAGATGCATCCCGCAGAAAAGAAAGGGTCCTCATACTGATGTGAAATTAAATTTCAGCCATGTGGGGAAATGAAAAAGCAAGAGAGGAACACAAGCCAGTTATGGGAAAAGGTAGGAAAGCTCTTCACACATTCGCCTGTAACGAGTGCCTGGGTCAGCCTCTTCACTCCTGGGTGCTGACAGGATCCACCCACCGGCAAGCCCCTTCACGCTTCAGCAGCTGGGCTCACCAGCCTCCCATTCTCTACCACCTCTGAAGCGGAAGCCTGCCACCCCCTCTTCCTTCTAACCGAAAAAAGTTAATTCATGTGACTTAAAGGAATGGATCCAGAGAGCTGGGTTTGAGTCCAGAGGCCTCAGACTCATCGTGTGATCATAGGCAGATCCTATTCTCCCACTGGCCAAGTCGTGGTCCATGAAATGGAATAATGATGCCTAGTAAGGCTGCTGCATGGACCAAGGAGGTCACAGCTGTGTGAGACAGTTTTTTTAAACAGACTGGACTGCACTGAGCTTTGTCTAACAAAACAAAACTCAAGGAAAAATGTTTTTGTTAAGCTATGTTGAATCCGAGACATTTCATATTTGTCCTTTCTGAACTGTTTGGGGAGGTGAGTTTTTATTGTTCCCCATGGTCTTTCTGCCGGGCTCACTGACTCTTTCTGGCCTGGCAAGTGGAGAGAGGTACCACAGCCGAATTGGTAGGAAAGCAGGTTTGTGGAAGGGTGGCAGGAACCCAGGCTTGACTGCTAGAGGTCTGAGTCAGCAGCAGACAGGCAGGGTGGGCCCAGTCCTCACATACTTAGGGAGATGGTGCAGGAATGTTCCTCCAGCCCAAGGCCTGGGCTCTGCCCACTGCATCCTGGCTCTTGCAGATGCAGCAGCCTCAGCTTTAGCCCAAGAGGCGGTAGATGCCTGGAGCTTTGTTTGGTGGCTTCAGCCAGGGGCCTTCAGAGGCAGCCTAAACTTAGGCACTAGCCCATGGGTTCACAAGGCCAGGCCAGAAAGCCTACCAGGAGTTGACTTCTGACCCGAAGCATCCCCTGGCACACTGACGCAGCCAGCTGCCACCCCTCCCTGGACCTCATGTTCCTTGTCTGTGCAATGAAGAACTAATGTGGTTGTGTCGGGTGATGGTGATCCCAGATGGCTGGAGGTGGCTCACACACTGTCCCACAGGTGCAGCTACATGTGGAACACCTTTGCTATATTCACATGTGACTTGGTGGCAGTTTGCATGTATCACTGTGTGAGAGTATTACTGTGCATGAGACTGTGGTATGGCTGAGAGTGATGCCTTAGCTGGGACTGACATAGTGAACAGATAACATGCATAGACATAGCCAAGTGTGGACATGGCTGTGAATGTGTGATAGTATGTGGCACTGTAGTTAGGAGTGCAATTGTGAGAGCACATGACCATGCAGATATGTATATGTGGCCAAGAGAGGTTTATGTGCCTGTGGGAAAGGTGTGTGGCTGTCTGCTTTGGGTTGGGCAACAGTATCAAGGACCATGTGGGTGTATGGATGACTGTGTGGCTGTGCCACAGGATGGGAAGTGTGGTGGTGAACTGAGCCTAGGACAGCCTGTCTTTCCCAGGCCTGGCTCTGTTCCAGCTGTGGCACAGTGGTTCACAGCCCTCCTGTTTCCAGGAGGCAACAAGATGCAGGATCTGAGAACCACCTCCATCCCCAACACCCCACATGTGGCCACAAAACAGATTCCTTTCCTGAACTGGGCCAAGATTGGGTATCAGGGTAGTTGCCCAGGGCAGAAAGGGAGGCCCGGTTTTCCACTCGCCTCAGACAAAAATGAGGGAGCGAACTGGAGGCAGCTGGGCCCAGCTTAGTCTAGAACAAATGTCTGGTATGTGACTGAGGCCAGCCAGCAGGATATTCCCCCACACTATTCCCCCAGTCTCCTGCAGAAAGGAGCTCTGGCCAGACCCAACAGATCTCAAATTCCCCCAACACCCTATCCCACACAGACCGAAATGGAAGGAAGGAAGGAAGGAAGGAAGGAAGGAAGGAAGGAAGGAAGGAAGGAAGGAAGGAAGGAAGGAAGGAAGGAAGGAAGGAGGGAAGAAGGGAGGGAGGGAGGGAGGGAGGGAGGGAGGGAGGGAGGGAAAATAGGGAGAGGGACTATGATATTCAGTCCTCACCACACACATGCTATCTCAGCCTACAGATCTCAGTAGGCCTAGCCCGTCCCAACACTTCACATTCTGGTTCTTCTCCTAGGTGCATGCTGATCTGGTGTCAGGCAACTCCCTCACCCTGAGGATGGGAGGTATGGGAGATGGTCCCCTTTTAAGGAAGGGACACAGAGGGCAGTCCCAGGGCAGGAAGCATGCATGGGGACTTTCCAGGCACTGTGGGCTAAGAGGAGCATTCCCACCCTTCTTAGACTGACCTCGAGAAGTTGCCCCAAACCCTCTCCCAACAGTCCCCTTGCTGTGGTCAGATTGCTCTCTGCAGAAGGCTAATTAGAGGTCAACGCTGAGAAAAGATTAAGGGGGAGAAGGTCCTCAAAGGGACTAGATATGAAGGAAGGAGAGCAGCGAGGAGGGAGGGGAAAAATTCCACAAAGTCCCAAATCTGACCTAACTTGACTCAGGGTCAAGGGCCCACTCCAGAATTTCCTCTGAGGACATTCTACCCTGAATGGGGAGCCCTTGCTGCCCTCTCCCCAAATGCATCTGCCAGCCCTTTCCTTATCTCATTGCGCTGAGCCCCCAGGCCCCTGGCCTGGCCAAAGCCTCCCCTGATGTCTGGACCCAGGCACTTCTCCCTACACCAAGTCCACACTGCCCTGAAAGAACACTGTGCTTTCACCACACTTCTCTGTTCCAGGTGTGAAGTTCCCGCGCATCCTGCCTGGGACACCCCAATGGCAGGGCTGAGGATCCCACATGGAAGCCACCACATGGCTGGGTATTCAGGACTGCCTAGGAAAGGACACCGTTTCTGAGCCCCACCTCCTTCCCTGGGCTGGGGCCTCCCTGGGGAGAGGAACCCCATCTATTAGACTGTCCTGAAACATGGTCTCCTATCCCTTTTTCATGCAACCCTCAGCCCTAGATCAGAGCAGCACAGCCAAATCCCTGGCAGGACTTCACCATTGTGAGAAGATAGTGAGGTCTGAGAAGGGTGTGAAACTATCTAGAGGTGTTCTTGGCCACCTCTAGATCCCCAAATAGCACCTCCCACCAGCACAGCCTTCTCCCCAACTATTGAGGTTCTGGGGTAAATTTTGTGCCTATCATAACCTCAGGGACAATCAGGGTTCTATCCTTCCCACACCCTCATCCCCTCTGAGATCTAAGTTTAAAAGTCATCTTTTTGTTATCTTAATTGTAAAAAAGTTTATCAAGAAAAAATATTCAAGCAGCAGCCACCAGGAATGGCCATGACCTCCTGGAGGGGGCTAGCAGTGGCACCTGTCAGTTCCACCCAACTGCTGCTGGACCACCCCCTGGCCTGGGGGAAGGAGTAACATAAACATGAGTTGGAGACAGTGCAAATGGCCAGAATCCAGGCAGGCATCACAACGAGACTGGCCATCAGCAGGTGGACCCAGGGTCAATTGACCTATATTTTCCCCTGGGTTTCCCACTGTGCACCAGAAGAATTCAGGGATTCATAGGACCAAGGACCCTAGAAACCCGAGGTCTGAGCCTGCTGGAGTGTGAGGAACTATTGCTGTGAACTCAAATATCTGGTGCCTTTTGGGTGTGCCCTCCAGGAAGATAACACCAGGGCCCTGGGGTTTATGACTTTTCTTAACACCTTGAACCCAGGGAAAAGATGCTGTGTGGTCCCCTAACCAAGGGATGTTAGGGGCTTAGCAGGTAAAAGGGAGTCAGGAGGATGTTGGCCTGCAGGTCCTCCTGCAGGGGGTAAGGGTGGGGCAGAGGCAGGGACAGGGACAAAGGGACAAGGAAGCTCCCTCCCCACCAAAGTAAGGTAGCAAACTTGCTTGGGAAAGGTGAGGGAGAGATGAGGGTGTTTTCATGCCTCTATACCTCTGCCCATGCTGCTCCTCTCTTCCAAATGTCCTCCCCATCTACTGTCCTCACCTACTACCTGGCAGGTCCTTGTCATTCTTCAAGACACCACTCGAATGTCACCTACACTGTGGAGTCTTCCCTGACCTGCAGAATGAGTGAACCCCTCTGTGAGCTTCCAGGAACCCCTTATTTACCATGAGACATTCTGTGTTACCGGTCCCCCCACCAAATCTGTTTTCGTGATTGATTCCCACTTTGACTGGGGACACCCTGAGGGCAGGTGTGTCACAGCTCTGGGTATCCAACATTTGACCCAGAACCACAGCAGGGCCCAGAATGAGGGGATGGTGGCCAGGTGCACAGAGACTAGAGGCTCTACAGTTAGCTAAGACTCTGGCGTAGCCTTGAGTGACTGACCAGCAGCCCAGGCCTCAGTTTGGAGGGTTTCTGGTCCCATTCTCATCCTTGCTGTGCCCACTTCTAAGGGATGGAGAACTTCCCCCGGGTTACCCATGACTCTTCCACAGCCCACCCCCAGCTGCTGCTGGTGCAGGAAGTCTGGAAACCAAAGTACACTGCAGTGACCAGGCTGACGGTGGGGTGGGGCCCGGTACTCAGGTCAGAGGTTGTCGTACATGCGCAGCGTCTTCTCCAGCTGCTGGCCTACGCGCTGGTAGAAGAGGATCTGCTGGCGCAGGTAACTCTGCATCATGTGCTTAAAGTCGAGCTCGCGGCGCTGGTGGAAGTGGTTCATCTCAGCCTGCAGGGCGAAGCCCACCACGCGGCAGCGCCTGCGAATGCCATCTGCTTCGTCCTGTGCCATGCGGCCCTCGTCACTCATGCGTTGGCTCTCCTTTACCTTGGCAAAAGCGCCTGGCATAGGCAGAGCAGAAGACAAGGGTTGTTAGGGCTCCGATGTCCCCAATTTGTTCCCTAAACCCTCTGTTAGTACCCCCAAGAGCATACAGTGGCCTCATTAATTCGACTTAGGCCTCGCTCCTGGACTCCAGACTCCTGGTCCAACAGGATGTCCCCACCAGGATGTCCCAACCCTCACCTAAACAGATGCACCATCTTCCCTCCAAACCTGTGGCACCAACAACCCACACCCCGCAGTCACTGCTCTGCTCTCTACATTCCAGAACCCGGATATCCTAATTCAGCTCAGACATTACCTCCTCCAGAAAGCCTCCCCTGGAACCCGCTGCATTAGGTGCTTCCCAGTGTTCTCAGGTGCCTGGGTTTCCCTCCCCCACAGCTCTCACCACCCTGCAGTTTTTCGACTGCCTCCTTTTGGGCTCTGAGCTCAATATTTCTAGCACCCAGAACAAAGCCTAACACACAGCAAATCCTGATACATGTTCAACGTGTTCCTCACTGGACAAGGACAACAGGCCTCCAAAGACCTCACACCTCAGTCCCAGCCTCGAGAGATTCTCCAGAGCACCTGAACGCAGCCAAGCTGGACACCCAGAGTTCCAAGCTTTCCCTGGCTTCCCTCTGTCTGCAGATCAAGATCCACATCCATTCATAAGGCTCTCTAAGAGCTGGTCCATGTACCCATTTCACACTGACCCCATGTTCATCAGACTCACCTTGCTCTTTCCTAACTCATCTCTGCCCCCTGGATCCCTATGCATAATTCAAACCTTCCGTCAGTGTTCCCAGGAACAATGCTTCCCTCTACATCACACTGCTTACTCTAAAACAGAGCCTCCAAGGCCACCTGGAGTTTTCCTTTGTGTGTGTCTCCCCCACAGACAGATCCTGGCCCCTCCTCACTCCAGCTCCCAGGGGACTAGAGGAGGCCATTGTAATAACCAGGTGACAGATGGAGGGCAAGAGATGAACCTGGGCAGGTGACCCAATATGGAAGAATCTGAATGAATCAACAAAGCAATTGGTGAATGGATTCCAGTTTGGAATTAACAGGTACTTGACTAATTCTGCAATGAAGCTGAGAGGGGGAGGCAGTTTGCCAGGGCCTGGCACTCACTCCCTCAGAGCTGTAGGGAACCCATTGTGCAAAGAAGAATGAGATGAGAAGGGTTGGCAAGGTGGACAGCACACCATTAAGTACTTCAAAAGGATCCACTGCATACAAATAACATGCTTATTATCCATACCTCCCATTTCTTCTTTAAGGAGGCTTCTCAAGGTACTTCAAACTGTGTTATTTTTACAAATTATTCAATGCATTTATTGAGCATTACTATATGCCAATCCCAGGACTCTATATCCTGGTAATAACTCTGGGGGCCTTTAGAACTGGCAGCACCATATTAGTAAACAAATGCATGGCTTATTGGCTAATATTGGCATTTGGGGCAGATACACTCAAGTTTGAACAGTCTCCAGAGCTGCTCACACCACATTCAAAATAACCCTGAAGTCACCAGATCCCAGCCCACTCAGTCCTTCGGCCACATTCCGGCTCCAGCTGCTCAGGCCTGGGCAGCAGAAGCAGGATCACTCTAAGACCTAATGAGAGACTTCAGAGCAGGAGAGGCCCTAGAGGCCAGCGGCCTGCCCCACCTCCCAAACCACTGCTCTGCAGAGGAAACAGGCCATGAAGGGAAGGGACTTGCCTAGGGGCTCCCACCTCCTTCCTGCCCCTCACAGAGGGAATGCCTGCCCAGAGACATCCCTCCACAGCTGGGAGGTACACATGACACCTCCTGCAGGGAGCCCATGCCAGGTCACCCAGGCATTTGTGTGGGACCTCCAGACAATGGACTCAGGAATTTGAGAAGGTTCCAAGAAATAAGGACTAAACAGGTAAAAAAACAGCAAGACAAAAAAACTGGAGTTAAGCTTCAGCAAAAGGAACCTACTGGAAGAGGGGACACTGACGAGCCTGGATTCCACCTGCCTGAGAAAGTCCAGGTACAGTGGGGGGTGGGCCTGTACTCGAGAAGGCACTTCTTGCCCATAGCCTAGCGGAAGGCCCCTTTTGTTGATGAGGAGATTGAGGCCCAAATAATAGAAATTAATCTAATGCAATTGTAGGTATCCAAAGACAGACAGCCAGGCAAGGAGCCAGGGACAGGAGACAGAGGCTACGGGGATGAGAGGGAGGTGGAGGCCCCACCCTGCCCTCTGTCACTTCTCTACCCTGCAACACAGGTCTGGGGCCTAGACCAGCTGACACTAAAGTGCCCAGAAACCAGCCAGGGGTCAGGCGTCAGGCCTGTCCAGCATCCCCCTACATTCCACTTTGGAGTTAACCTGAGAGACCCAGGGGAGCAGGCCTCTTGCCCTGGCAGCTGTCCTGTAGGCTGGGTCCCAGGAATAGAAAAAGGAGGGTTGGAGTTTCAGAGCTCCATGGTCCCAGGCATAGTCCCTAAGCTCCCTCCTTAATCAGTCTTATCCCCACTTCTTGGAGGTTGTAACCATCTGCACTAGATTGGGGGCAAGAGATCTGAGTCCTGGTCCCAACTGTGTCACCTCCAGCAAGCTTCTGCACTTGCCTGGTCTACAGGTTTCCCACATCAAAGGGTGCAGGTTGGGTAGAAATGATGCTACTGACAACTGCTCATAGCAGGATAATGCTTTAGTTTCCACATCTGTGAAATGGAATAAGAATATTTACCCTCTAGTGTAATTGAAGTTTGATTGAACTAATATGTATAAAGTACTTAGGATGGCATCTGACCAAATAAAAGCTCAAGATGCTACGTGCAATTGTCTACAAACTGCTTTTTAGTCACAGCAAGAACCAGCTGGTGGTGGCTCATGGCAGATTCTCTTTGTTTATGGAAACCTAGGAGGGATGGCAGAGGGAGGGTTAGACAAGAGCCCAGAACGGAGGCCCCACCTGTCCCCCAGGCAGGTGCCTGGCTAGTAAGAGTCACTTTGCCTTGGCCAATCTAGGAGCTCCCTGGCCCCTCCGTGCATGCTTGTGGTCCCGGGCCTGCCTCCAGTCCACAGAAGATTGCAACTAAGTTAGCACTACAGCATCCAAGCCTCCCTCGCTTTCCCTTCCCCTCCTAACTCATCTACTCCAAATAGCCATCCCTAAGAGAGCTCCTTCCCCCATCTATCAGGAACAGTGGACACTGCCTGGGCTGTGGAATCAGACACACCTGGGCTCCAATTCCTGCTCTGCTCACCATCCCACCTCACTGCACCTCGTCTGTAAAATGGAAGGGGTCACACCAACCTCCTGGCTTGGGTGTGATGAGTCTTAGGCAGGGCAGTCACTGTCTCCCCTTGTTGTACCAGGCCCTAATAATAGTTACCCTGGGACAATTACCCCCAAAACTGCCTTGATTTGGACTGAGGTCCAGGAGCTGGACCAGTGGGCACACAGGCTGGTGAGCCTCATTTCAGTGCCAACTAGACTCCATCTCCCATTTTACTGAGGTAAACACTGAGGGGAGAAAACTCTCTCAAGGTCACCTTAGAGACAATGTGTATCTAAATCCTGATCCCATCTAGGCCTCCCACTCCCCACCTCCATGACCTCTCCCAGACTCTCACCATCTTGCAGATACCCACACAAGCTGGACAGAATCCTGGGGGACCCAATTTCCTCCTGCTTCCTCTGAGAAAAGGCTCTACTTGCAGGGCTAGCATGGGACCCCTTCTCCCTCCAACAGGATTTGGGCCCCCAAAGCCGGCCCAATTCTGTCTCAGCCAGATTACAAACCCCTCCGTAACTCACCAGAACACAGACCTAGGAATGGCAGTGCAGAGTCCAGAAGGAGGAATAATAAGCCCAAAAGGGCTTTGATTATTGGGGAGAGGGTCTTCCAGGTAAGGGGAGGTGGACCAGCCTCTGCCTAAGCTTGAATACATCACCCCAGAGGACTGTTGGCCCCTGACTCTTAGAAACACAAGTGGCAAGTGGAAAGTCAGAAATGGCCTCTCTCAGCTCTGTCTCCCTGCCCCGGGGTCAGAAAAGCCAGGCTGGCTTCTACTCCCATCTACTTAAGAGTGTGCCTGGGAGCCCTGATTATAGGGCTGCCTTCCTGCCCCCAGCTCTGCCCTGGGTGAAGGTCCCCAGCCACCAAGGGAGGGGGGGTGCACAGCGGTTTAATCACTGTGCCACTGCTTTCCCTCCTACTGCCCCTGCTGCTGCCCAGTATGAACAGGCCTGCTAAGGAACTGGTTGAACCAGCTTTCCCAGGTCCTAAAGCAGCAGTGGGGGTGTGGCTCCATTCCAAACGGGCCACCAGCCAGCCAGGCCGCCTCCCCTACCCTCTCCCTGCTCTAGAGCTCAGAGCCAGATCTAAGGCATCACTGTCCTCAACCAGACCCTCCCTATAAGTCTCCCTCCCCCTCCTTGAAGGTCTAAGAGCTCAGGGTCCACCCTCCCTTGTTTTATAGATCAGTAAACTAAGACCCCAGAGACAGGAAGGCAATTTTCAGCAAATTGGGGGGAAGAGCCAAGACTAGAGCTCAGGCCTTGTGTCTCCTGAAGCTGAAAGAAGAGGGAAGGAGGAGGAGAGGAATGGAGAGATGAGAGAAAAAGACAAAGAACAGAAAAGAGAAAGTGAAGAGAGAAGGAAGCTGAGAGCTATAGAAGTTCTAGAAGCCAACCTCCTGTTAAAGGAGAGCAAGGCTAGTTTACACCAGACTCTCCTGGGTACTGAGGTAGGGGGTGGCATTTGCTGACGACCCCCAGGCTCAATCCAGAGGCCTGACTCCTGACCCCACCCAGAGGAAAACTCCCAAGCTAGCCAGGCCTGACCTCAGGCCTAGGGGGCACAGAGCGGACCCACCCTACAGAAGCCCTAGAGACGTTCTTCCTGAGTTACCAAGCAGCCCCAGGGAGGACCACACCTCTCTCCTGACGTCTGCCCTGCCTGTTGTCTCCAGGACTCAGTCAACAGATAGGTCAGATCAGGATTCACTGCTTAGGCAAGAAGACAGCCAGGCTCGGGAAAGGGTAGTTAGATGGGCCATGTGCCCCTGGTTCCTCCCCAGCCCAGCCCAGGTGCCCCTGTGTGACCAGAGTGAGTCACTTCCCTGCCAGTTCCTTGACAGCCCCACAGTAACAGCGAGGGGCCCATCCTGCTCCTCCCCCACAGAGGTGCCGTGAGAAATTAACACAGCCAGGTTTGGGATGACCAATAAGAATGTGTGCTTGAGGAGTCACAAGAGAAAGAAACAGTCTCCGCTGGGCCGTGGACTCCCTGTGCAACTACTCTCCTATGGACACCACCCTCTACATCTGTAGAATGGGGACAACCCTCCCCACCAGACTGGGAGCTCACAGAAAGGATATGCAGTGGTGAGAACGGTTCTAAGGAGGTGAGCTTGTGAGGCAGTGGGAAGACAAGCCACACTGTGCTTGTTATCTGAGTCTGTATCCATGTGGACTCCTCAAGGGCAGGGCCTAAGCCCTGGTCATCTCTGTGTTCCCAGAACCCAGCCTGATACCTTCAAGAGCTCAGTGTAGCCCTAGCCGACTTGGTTCAGTGGATAGAGCGTCAGCCTGCCGACTCAAGGGTCCCAGATTCGATTCTGGCCAAGGGGACAGGCCTGGGTTGCGGCTCAAACCCCAGTGAGGGTCGTGCAGAAGGCAGCCGATCAATGATTCTCTCTCAGTCATTGATGTTTCTCTCTCTCTCTCCTTCTCCCTTCCTCTCTGAAATCAATAAAGAAATTTTTTTTAAAGAGCTCAGTGTATAATGCGTAAATGGAAAAATGAGACAGAAACAGAAAAAAAATGAAAGAAGAAAAGACAACAAGAAGGTAAACAGTGAGCCTCATCAGGACAGGGACCATATCACTACACCTAGAATAGCATCTGTCTTATAGTAGGTGCTCAACACGCTTGTTGAATGAATGAACAAGACAGAGACAGAAAGATTAGATGAGCTGTTCCATTCTGTGTAGGCCATGCTCACATCTCCACGTCCAGCAGAGTGCAGATTCAGTAAGGCTCTCCAGATGTGCTGCACTGGCTCTTACCTTTCTGCAGGTGAATGATGTCAGGAAAGTTGGAGAGCAAACCCTGGTAGAGAGATAGCATGTCGAGCACCTGGAAGAGGTCATTCTTGGGCTGCTCAGCGAACATCTCACCAACAGTTTCATAAGTACGGCCCGTGTGAGAAATGGCGCTGTTGAGGGCCTCGGAACTAAAGGGGGGGTCCATCTGAAAGGCATGACTGATGGCTTGAAAGGCATTGCCCAGCTTTTGGAATTCTTTGCGGAAGCCTCCCACATGCTTGCGTACCAGCTCCAACGCTACAGTGCTGAGCTGCAGGACACTGTCATCCATCTTCTTGCTGAAGGCCTTGAAAGTGTCCACACGGTCCTCCACGTCCTGCAGGTCCTGGTGCTCTGTGGGGATCTGGAAGGTGAGGAGGAAGCTGGCACCAACCATCTCATCCTTCTCCGCCCGGCGTTTGCCCATCTTCCACTGCTTGTCATCCAAGCAGCTAAGGAAATGCTGGAAGCCCTCATACTGGGACAGCACAGGGTGGCTGGTCATGTGGTCCATCCAGAGGATGAGCCGCCGCTTCCGCTTCTCAATAAAATCCTCCTCAAAGCGACCTGTGGCCTGCTTCTCTGGCAGGTGGGGCACAGAGATGACAGTGAATTTGTGAAGCAGGCGGTTATAGAGCCAGTCAAAGTGCTTATACCGCCGGTAGACAGGGGAGCCAGCATGGGTGGGCGTGAGCTTGTAGGAGATGTAACTTTTGATGCCCTTGAATTTGGTCTGTTTGGTGGGGTCTTCCACAGAGCAGGCAAATGGGTGGGGGTTGGCCTTCCACTGGGGGCCACGAGGGCCCATTTCAATGGAGTATGTCTCAGCAATCTTGGCCATCATGGGCACATCACCCAAGATGAAGGCCTCCACTCCAGAGCGCACAAAGCATGAGAAACGGTTGAGGTTGCGCCCCACCACACTGCCTCGCTTAGCAGATGCCAGGCTGTCCTGCCGCTCCAGGAGTGGCTTGGGTTGGAAGGCCAGGTGCTGGTTGGGGTAGGCACCAGGGTAGGAGAGGTTGAGTGGCGAATACCCATTGGTGCCCATCCCACCAGTCCGTGGTTCCTCAACCACTGTGCATCCATCGTCCCAGTCGTCCCAGTCATCATCATCCTCCTCCTCGAAGCTGCCCTGGTTTGAGAGGAAGCCACTGCCCCCACCGCTCCCAAGGTTGGCCACCCTGGAGCTGTCATACAAGCTCACCTGGGTGCCTGGAGAGCCTGCAGAGCTGCCGGAGTAGTCAGCCTGGTTGAAGCTGGTGCCAGAGCTAATGATCTCCACATAAGAGGCGGGGAAGAGCCCTGTCTCACCAAGGCTGTTCTGGCCCTGCAGCCAACCATCCAGTGAGGTCTCACTGAAGATGACCAAATCCTCACCCTGCTGGATATTGATTTCCTCTTTGTTCTCACTGTGGAAGTCATAGAGGGCTCGGCCTTTTAGTGCCATGGCTGGGCCAGTGGTAGAGAAAGATGAGGAAAGGGTCCTGCCCAGAACTAGGATGTCCAAGAACGCACTAGCAAACAAAGGCCGGCCCAGCAGCTGTCTCTCCGCCCCTAATGCAGGTCCCAGCACCCAGCCCTCTCTTCAAAGTTGTGCCCATGGCTCCAAAACTTCCCTATCACAACTCCCAGCACCTGCCTGGGGGCAGGGGAGCCTCATATCCATAGTCTTCTTCACCACTCTTGGCAGGCCCTGCAGGGGAATTTCTCCCTCCTTCCACTCCCAGGAGAAAAGTCAAGTGCCTTGGTGAAGTGAGAGGGCAAAAATTCCACTTTCCACTGGAACAAGGTTCTATCAATAAAACAAAAGAGAATCACTCGGAAATCACGGTTCCAGAACCCTGGCAGCTGTGGTTCCCAGCTCCTTCTGGCCCCCCAGGCCTTGGAAGACTCTCACATTCCTCCCCAGATCTGCTCCTTCCTCCTTCTCCTCCTCCTGGGCCACTGGGTTTCCAAAATTCCAGAAAATCCAAAGGAAAAAAGCAGCAGCCTCCTTCCTGAATCGAGTCCAAGGGTGGATGTGTCCAGCTTCCCAACCGGCCAGGCCGGGAAAACAAGGACTGCGGCTTGCACAACAGGCCGCCAACTCGCCGACCCTGGCGGTCCGGGGGCCTCCAGCCCGCTCGGGCTACGGAGGGCTTAGTGGCGTTTGGGCGACTTTGCCCCACCGGCGGAGCGGCCTCTTTTGTTTGCCTAATTCCTCAGCAGTTTTTGAGCCTGAGGCTGACCCGACCGAACCCGAGGACCGCGTCCGAAGGCAAGCCGCCCGCAGACCCCCGCCCGCCGCACGCGCTCACACTCAGCAGGAGTTTGCAGAGCGACCCAGCGAGCAGATGGCGCCCGGCCGCCTCCGAGCCTCCAGCGCGCCTCCGCCGGCACTTGCAGCCCCTCCACACCGCCAGCAACAAGCCAGCTAGGAAAAAAAAAAAAGGCGATTGGGAGGTGGCGTCCGCGGGGAAGGAGGGAACGGGAGGCGGGGGGCGGGCGGGCGGCGCGGGGTAGGGCTGGGAGTGGCGGAGAGAAGGCAGGCAAATTCCGCCGCACTTCCGCGAGGCGCAGGGCTCCGACTCCGCCTCCCCCTCCCCACCCGCCCAGCTCCTGGCTTCTTTCTTCGGGCAGTGGCCCACACCAGCTCCAGGGAGATCGGGGTGAGAGAAGAAAGAGACGACCCAGGAAGTAGGGGGGGCCGAGCCTCCAGGACTGTCCGCCCTCAATGGGAGGTACCTCCGCCCCGAGGGTCTGGAGCGTCGAGCTCTTCCCCGCCAGCCACCGCCGCCTCCTAGACTCTGGTCACCCCCCCACCCCCGTCTTTTCCGTGACGCCAGTGTTTGAAAACCCCAAAAGTTTGCAAATTGAGGGGCTGCAAGGAGGATATCAGAGGAAGGGGATTGAGGAAGGGGGCGTGGAGAGCCGCTCCCACCCCTCCCCTCCTCCCCTTCCCTCTCTCCCTCCACCCCGTCCCTGCCCCAGCGGGACTGGGCGGCGGTGCAGCCCTGGACTGTTCTCTGGAGCCTCGCCCACCCCTGCCCCTCCCCGAGCCATCGGCGTCCTCATGGAAGAAGCCTGAGCGGCCTGGGATATTGGCCGCTGCGGGTCCTAGAACCTCAGCCAGAGCCAAGAGCACCCCTGCCTTGGGAAAGTTCTTTCAAGGAAAAAGATCAAGAACCTAAATCTTGTTAGCGACAGAAACAAGCCCAGACACCACTCGGTTCCGTGTTGCTTCGTGCAGCGGTGGGGACGGTGGGGAGCAGCGAGGAGGAGGGAGGGGTAATCGGGGTAGACATCCAAGAAGAGGCAAGGAGGATTTTACTCTTGCTCAGCCCGTCCAGAACATTTTGGGCACTGACTGCCAGGCACTGTGCCCACAGCACAAGTCATTCCGGGTTCCTGCCCTTGAAGGCTTACAGTTCACTCTCTTGTCCTTAATTCATGCATTCTCTCTCTGTTTAATTCAATCATGCACTCAAGGAAGCACTGTCCTTACATTCCAGGGGCTCAGATGTGTTTGGACAAGTAGACAGAGGCTCTTTGCCCAGTGTGAGCAGTAACATAAAATGTGCTTGAGAGTGCACAGAACCCAGCCTGGGATGGAGCAAGGATCGAGGACAGCTTCCTAGAGATGTGCAGCATAGGCCTCAGTTCCTACTTCCTTTCCAGGCTGTGCCCTGGAGCCTTGCCTACCCCTCTAGCTAGGATTCCCTATCATTCTCACTCTCCCCACTTGATGCAGATTAACTGGCAGAAGGCAATACTGCTAAAGGTGCACACCTTTGGCTGTTTTGATGGGTGTGATTTGCAGGCCTCTAGCTCCAAACTCATTCACTGGTGCAGTGAGTAGATATAATTCCCTATGCAGGTCTGGCATTTGACCCCCCAAAAAAAAAGTATTTTGTACAAACCCCAAAAGCCCAGGTATTAATTTGCACAGAGAAATAGAACTGTGAGGGAAACCTGAATTTTTGCACCAATAGAATAAAGCAGTTTGAGCTGCTCCTAGGAAGCCCAGTTACCAGAAGGTTTGCACAGTGAACCTGGAATCCCTAGAGTGAGAAAAGGGGATGGTAGGGCAAGACTCAAAGAACAAACCTTGAATTTGTATCCCCCTCTAACAGGGGCAACCTTGATGCTAAGGACTCAATTTATCCCAGTTCTGTATCACCATGACCAGTCTGAATACACGTTTCTCCCAGCTGCTTTGGGATGCCTCTTTTCTGTGATCTCTCTGCTGTTCACAAAGCCTCCTACCAAGCTGGGTTTAACAATAGCAGCTACACCTGAACCGGTTTAGCTCAGTGGATAGAGCATGTGCCTGCAGACTCAAGGATCCCAGGTTTGATTCTGGTCAAGGGCATGTACCTTGGTTGTGGGCACAATCCCAGCAGGGGGTGTTCAGGAGGCAAACTGATAGATATTTCTCTCTCATTGAAGTTTCTAACTCTCTTTCCCTTCCTCTCTGTGAAAAATCAATGAAGTATCTTTTTTAAAAAACAATAGCAGCTACTTCCTTAGAGACAATGTTGTAAACATCTTAACCTTTATTAGCTCATTTAATACAATTGGGATTTCTGCTCACACAACTAGGCTTCTAATCCAGCCTCAGCCCCTTGAGAGACCCCCAGCCACCAACTTGATGGTCTTTAATTCTCACACATTTATAGGCCAACCATCTTTGCTTTACTCCCACATCTGTTCTGGGTGGGTTTCTCTAACTTTCAAGAGCCAACCTTATTTTCAGGTTTTGGGAAAAACTTCGGCCTCACAGGCACTTCCAGAACTTGTATCTCCCATTCCCTCCCTTCCAGGGACTCTCTTCAAGTCTAGGAGTTACAGAGCCTCTGGTCACATGTATCTGGAAACCACTAACCTTTGTGGTTTCCCTACATTCTGCTCATTCTGTTGGGAAAGTTGCTTTATTAAGTTCTCTTCATGCTGAAACCGGTTTGGCTCAGTAGATAAAGCGTCAGCCTATGGACTGAAAGGTCCCAGGTTCGATTCTGGTCAGGGGCATGTACATTGGTTGCAGGCACATCCCCAATGTGGAGTGTGCAGGAGGCAGCTGATCGATGATTCTCTTTCATTGATGTTTCTAATTCTCTATCCCTCTCTCTTCCTCTCTGTAAAAAAATCAATAAAATATATATTTTTTTAAAAAGTTCTCTTCACATCATTATAATTGGAGTACGGTCTCTTTTTCCTGCTGGGACCCTGAATCCTGCACAGGAAACAACATCCATTTCCCCTTTCAGGCATCCAGTGTTCCTCCTTTGGAGGAACACTGGATGCCTGAAAGGAATCAGCAAATGAGAACTCCTCTTTCATCAGTATTTACTGCAGCTCTGATGGTCCTAGCTACTCTTTCTCACCTAGATCACTGCAACAGCTTCCTAGTAGTTTCTGTTTCCACCTCTGCCTCCAGATAGTCTGTTCTCAACACAGCATCAGGGTGATCCTTTTAAAATACAAGTTAGCTGTCAATCCTGTACAAAACCCTACCGTGCCCTTATCTCACTCAGCATAAAATGTTCTTACAAGAGCCACAAGCTTCTTTATCTGAATTCCCTTTCTTGCCTGCCTAGCCCGCTCTGCTGCAGCCAAGATGGCTGTTACTCCTCTTCAGACATGCCAGGCACATTCCTGTCTTAAGGGATTTGCACCGACTGTTTCCTCCTCCAGAAATGCTCTTCCCTTAAATATAGACAAGGCTATCCCTAGCCAGTTTGGCTCGGTGGATAGAGCTTTGGCCTTCATACTGAAGGGTCCTAAGTTCAATTCCTGGTTGCAGGCTTGATCCCCATGCTGGGCGTGCAGGAGGCAGCCAATCAATGATTCTCTGTCATCATTGATGTTTTTATCTCTCTTTCCCTCTTCCTTCCCCTCTGAAATCAATAAGAATATATTTTTTTAATTTAATTTAAAAGATTATATATATATATATATATATATATATATATATATATATATATATATCCCTATAAAATATCACTTCAATAAGACCTACCCAGACATACCCTATTTATTTTTATTTTTTTACTAAATTATTATCTGTGTACATATCTTACCATTGCCCCCCCCCATACATACCCTCCCTTCCCAGAGTTTTGTGTCCATTGGTTGTACTTCTTTGCATGTATACAAGTCCTTCAGTTGATCTCTTATCTACCCCAGATCTCCCTACCCTCCCTGCTGTAATTTGACAGTCTGCTTGTTGCTTTACTGTCTCTATATCTATCTTTTGGTTCTTCAGTTTATAATGTTCTTTATTATCCATAAATGAGTGAGGTCGTGTGGTGTTTCTCTTTCATTGACTGGCTTATTTCACTCAGCATGATGTTCTCCAATTCCATCCAGGTTGCTGCAAATGATGAGAATTCCTTCTTTTTTATGGCAGCATAGTATTCCATTGTGTAGATGTATCATAGTTTTTGGATCCAATCATCTGCTGACAGGCACCTAGGCTGTTTCCAAATCCTAGCTATTGTAGATTGTGCTGCTATGAACATAGGGGTGCATATATCCTTTCTGATTGATGTTTCTAGCTTCTTGGGATATAATCCTAGGAGTGGGATTACTGGGTCAAATGGGAGTTCCATTTTCAGTTTTTTGAGGAAACTCCATACTGTTCTCCACAGTGGTTGCACCAGTCCGCATTCCCACCAGCAGTGCACAATGGTTCCTCTTTCTCCGCAACCTCGCCAACACTTGTCGTTTGTTGATTTGTTGATGTTGGCCATTCTGACAGGTGTGAGATGGTACCACATTGTTGTTTTGATTTGCATCTCTCGGATAATTAGTGACTTTGAGCATGTTTTCATGTGCCTTTTGGCCTTCCTTCTTCTTTTGAAAATATTCTATTTAGGTCCATTGCCCATTTTTTAATTGGATCATTCATCTTCCTTTTATTTAGTTGTAGAAGCTATCTGTAGATGTTGGAGATTAAACCGTTATCAGTGATAACATTTGCAAATATGTTCTCCCATACAGTGGGCTTTCTTGTAGTTTTGTTGATGGTTTCTTTTGGTGAAAAAAAGTTTTTTATTTTGATGCAGTCCCATTTGTTTATTTTCTCTTTAGTTTCCATTGCCCTAGGGGCAGTATCAGTGAAGAAGTTCTTTTGGCATATGTCTGAGATTTTGCTGCCTATGGTATTTTTATGGTTTCCCGTCTTATGTTTACATCCTGTATCCATTTTGAGTTTATTTTTGTGTATGGTGTAAGTTGGTGATCTAATTTCATTCTTTTGCATGTATCTGTCCAATTTTCCCAACACAATTTATTGAAGAGACTGTCTTGACTCCATTGTATATTTGTGCCTCCTTTGTCAAATATTAATTGAGCATAGTGATTTGGGTTGATATCTGGATTCTCGATTCTATTCCATTGATCTATATGTCTGTTCTTGTGCCAGTACCAGGCTGTTTTGAGAACAGTGGCTTTGTAATACAGTTTGAAATCTGGTATTGAGATCTCTCCT